CTGATAGATTGTATCACCTTCTCTACATTTAATTACATCAACAGAGGCTTGTTTGAGAGAGACAAGCTCACCTTCGCAGCACAGCTTACTTTTCAGGTCACACATGAACACATGAACACTTGCACTCGCATTACACTGTCCGTTTAAAATACACACTTTGAATGGGTGTGTATTGTATTTTTTGTGTGTATATTAGTTGCTGTTAATGAGTAAAGAGTTGGATCCTCGAGAACTGGACTTTCTGCTACGCTTCAACATTGATCACAGTTATGTCAGTCCACTCGACTTCCTTTCCAACTCCACCTGGAGCGCTGTTAAAGTAAGCACAAATCTCAAAACACAGACACACACACATAATTGCTTAAAGACCTGGAGCTGTATTAGAGGACCACTCTAACTTAGAATCCTGTCCTGTCCGTTTAGTAACCATGGTGATTTCTCTTCAGGAAATAGAACATTTTCAAAGTCAATTTCTATAATACAGCCTCTGAAGATTATCTCCTCGGACATCTTCTTGGTGTTTTCCTGCAGACAATGAGCTTCACCGATGAGTTCCGTGGTCTGGACCGGGACATCGAGGGTTCTCCCAAACGCTGGAAGAAAGTGGTGGAGTCAGAGTGTCCAGAGAAAGAGAAACTCCCTCAGGAATGGAAAAACAAGAGTTCGCTCCAGAAACTCATCCTTATGAGGGCTCTCCGACCTGACCGGATGACATACGCTGTCCGGTAAGTCTATGATAATGTAGTATGTGTTCATTAAAGACAACACAAAACATTGTAGGAAAGACAAATTAAAGTGTCAGTTCACCTCACCCTCATGTCATTTAAAGCCTATTAGACAATTAAATCATTTATCTTCAAAAGACTATAAATAGTTTTTTTTTAAAATATTCTCTCACCTTTTTGTCCATCTGCAAGTCTGTGAAACCAAAACTTATATGAATTGAAAAGTACAAAATGACATGGTGAAAGTCATCCATATGAATCAATGTAAATCGATATGAATCAATATAAACATTAATCAACATGCATAGAGCACATCTAATATGGTAATCAGAGATTCAACTACTAGCTACAAGAAAGCATGTTTGAGCTCCCGTTTACTGTATTTGATTAGCTCTATGTTTGTATGTGAATAATGTGAATAAACTGTTCATCATGTAAAGTGATCTTGTCTCTGCAGAAGACTGGGATTAAACCGTCTTAATTAAATATTACATTTCCGGTGCCTTCATGTACTGAATCTTAAAAATGTTGGTTGCATGGACTTTCAGTGGTGGGACAAAAAAATGAGTAAATATTAAAAATATCCTCATTTGTGTTTCGAAGAGGTTTGGAACAACCTATTAATAAACACACTAAATAATATTTTCATTAATACCTACTATACAAATTTTATGAAAGTTAGCTTTAGGGGTGGAGTTAGGATACGCTTAGTATAAAAACAATAATCCCTACAAAGAAAACGATAACAAATGTGTCCGTTTGCTTGTGTAGGAACTTTGTTGAAGAGAAACTAGGTGTACAGTACACCGAGAGCAGGAAGATGGAGTTTGCACGCTCATTCAAAGAGTGTGGTCCTGCTTCCCCTGTGTTCTTCATCTTGTCCCCTGGAGTGGACCCCCTAAAAGATGTTGAGTCCCTAGGTAAGATTTTTTTTTCATCTCATGCAAGAATCTTTTTTTGTTTTGTTTTTCATAGTGTGTCAGGATTTTGACTATGGTACTGCATATTGACCCAGTCAAACCCTGGCCCACTGGTTCAGAAAAACTATGGATTTGAATGGGATATGCCTAGAAATTCTGTTTGAACAGACATTGTGAACAAAGCCTTTGTGTATTTCTGTGTATATGTTTAGGTAAGAAGCTGGGTTTCACTATAGACACAGACACACACACATAATTGCTTAAAGACCTGGGGCTGTATTAGAGGAACACTCTTAACTTAGAATCCTGTCCTATCCGTTTAGTAACCATGGTGATTTCTCTTCATTTTCAAAGTCAATTTCTATAATATAGCCTCTGAAGATTATCTCCTCGGACACCTTCTTGGTGTTTTCCTGCAGACAATGAGCTTCACCGATGAGTTCCGTGGTCTGGACCGGGACATCGAGGGTTCTCCCAAACGCTGGAAGAAAGTGGTGGAGTCAGAGTGTCCAGAGAAAGAGAAACTCCCTCAGGAATGGAAAAACAAGAGTTCGCTCCAGAAACTCATCCTTATGAGGGCCACTGGTTCAGAAAAACTATGGATTTGAATGGGATATGCCTAGAAATTCTGTTTGAACAGACATTGTGAACAAAGCCTTTGTGTATTTCTGTGTATATGTTTAGGTAAGAAGCTGGGTTTCACTATAGACCTGGGAAAGCTCCATAATGTGTCTCTAGGACAAGGCCAGGAGTCTGTTGCTGAACTTGCCATGGAAAAAGCCTCTAAAGAGGGCCACTGGGTCATTTTACAGGTGTGTCTGTTATCTGTATATTTCTGTTATTTTATGCATACACCTTATGCAGAATGCTTGTGTTTCTTCTAGAACGTTCACCTGGTGGCAAAGTGGCTGGGAAGTTTAGAAAAGCTTCTCGAACGTTGCTGTGTGAACAGTCACCAAGACTACAGAGTGTTCATGAGTGCAGAACCTTCTCCCACTCAACAGGAGCACATCATTCCTCAGGGAATTCTAGAAAATTCCATCAAAATTACTAATGAGCCACCCACAGGCATGCTGGCCAACCTACATGCTGCCCTGGACAACTTTGATCAGGTAAACAGAATGAAAAAAAGTTGAATGTTGTTTTGGAGGCCCCACCCATAGTAAAATCCTATTGGTTCAAAAATCATGCTTTATTAGCTGTATATTAAACATCAGATATGTTCTGATAGGCTGTAATTGAAAAGACATGTCAAGAATGAGATGTAACACGAAAACCTTTGCTTGTGTGTATAATTAAGACAAATGAGAAAATTACATTTAAAGCCTATTAGACAATTAAATCATTCATCTTCAAAAGACTATAAATAGAGTTTTTAAAAAAAATATTCTCTCACCTTTTTGTCCATCTGCAAGTCTGTGAAACCAAAACTTATATGAATTGAAAAGTACAAAATGACATGGTGAAAGTCATCCATATGAATCAATGTAAATCGATATGAATCAATATAAACATTAATCAACATGCATAGAGCACATCTAATATGGTAATCAGAGATTCAACAACTAGCTACAAGAAAGCATGTTTGAGCTCCCGTTTACTGTATTTGATTAGCTCTATGTTTGTATGTGAATAATGTGAATAAACTGTTCATCATGTAAAGTGATCTTGTCTCTGCAGAAGACTGGGATTAAACCGTCTTAATTAAATATTACATTTCCGGTGTCTTCATGTACTGAATCTTAAAAATGTTGGTTGCATGGACTTTCAGTGGTGGGACAAAAAAATGAGTAAATATTAAAAATATCCTCATTTGTGTTTCGAAGAGGTTTGGAACAACCTATTAATAAACACACTAAATAATATTTTCATTAATACCTACTATACAAATTTTATGAAAGTTAGCTTTAGGGGTGGAGTTAGGATACGCTTAGTATAAAAACAATAATCCCTACAAAGAAAACGATAACAAATGTGTCCGTTTGCTTGTGTAGGAACTTTGTTGAAGAGAAACTAGGTGTACAGTACACCGAGAGCAGGAAGATGGAGTTTGCACGCTCATTCAAAGAGTGTGGTCCTGCTTCCCCTGTGTTCTTCATCTTGTCCCCTGGAGTGGACCCCCTAAAAGATGTTGGTTTGGTGAGATCATGTATGGAGGTCACATTACTGATGACTGGGACAGGAGACTGTGCAGAACTTACCTGGAAGAGTACATGCAACCTAACCAGGTGTACACTCACACTCAAACACACATGCACAACGACTGGAAGACTGCCATAGCACAAACACTGTAGTAAAATTTAAGTCAGCATAGTAACATTTTATTTGGATTTATCAGCTGATGTTATTTATATTAAGTTGTAGACTCTTTACACATAATTTAAGTTTAAGTTAGATCGGGTCTCCACGCCAGATAATAATTAGGATCCCGCCCCGGAGGCCAGATCCCGTTTGTCCTGTAACAGAACAACTAGTCAGCACAGCATCAATACCCAAACCCTGTTAACAGCAAGGTGTGGTGTCTGGCACAGGTGCCGATCCCGTCCACTGGCAGAAACATAAACAGGGTGGATATTTTGAGCTTGAATTAGCATATTAGCTTACAACAAACTGTGACTAGCTAAATAGTTAGTCTGGTCGTTGAAGAGAATTTGGTATATTTAAACGTACATATTTTGAAAATACTGTATTCAAATCACTTCTGGCATATTTTATGGCGACAGGGTGGACACTGGACATGTTAAGCTTATCAATACCCAAACCCTGTTAACAGCAAGGTTGGTGTCTGGCACAGGTGCCGATCCCGTCCACCGGCAGAAACATAAACAGGGTGGATATTTTGAGCTTCAATTAGCATATTAGCTTACAACAAACTGTGACTAGCTAAATAGTTAGTCTGGTCGTTGAAGAGAATTTGGTATATTTAAACGTACATATTTTGAAAATACTGTATTCTAATCACTTCTAGCATATTTTATGCCGACAGGGTAGACATGTTAAGCAAGTAAGCAAACTCATACGAAGAAAATTTGTCATTTGAAAAGTCACCAACTTACTCACCTCAGCCATTAAAATTCCCGCCACTGAAGAAACAAAATATCTGCTGTCCTGATGTCATTAAAGGGGTGGATTCCCCAATACCACAGGGTGGACAACCATTCAAGGGACATGGACAAACTCTTCTTTTTTTATTAAATAAAAATATTGTTTTTATTACCAAATGATCAATACACTCAAATTGAGTAATCTCCTATTTAACAAAATATTAATAGGAGAACAACTTTTTAAAATTTTATGATTTGACAATATTCTACTATCAATTCAAATTTAAAGAGCAGTGCATGGGACATAGCAAAATAACGCGCATCCTCTTACACAAAACTAAAAAAAGTCTACAAAATGTATCTAAAAAGCCAAGTAATGCTTTTGTTATGAATATAAAAACTTAGCCTAATATAACACACCCTTTCATAGTTATTTTTATGTTATCATGGCAAATGAGTTATGTACAGGACACCAAAAGGCACCCTACAGTGATATTGACCCATGTATATATAAAGACACACACATACAGCAGATATATTTTGAAAATATTTACATGTATTTATGTACCTTATATACCTTATATATATATATATATGTATATCACAAAGACTAATCCTTTTAAGATCACTGTCTTTTTTGCTGTTGTCTAACATAGTTTATCTTAGTTAACAAAGTTAATCTTTAAAAACCCTTCAAATTGAGTAACACTGTTGCTTGTAAATTTTAGCAAACCTCAAAATGAAAATAGATTTTTTTCTGACTGTACATACATTACAATGTTGTGATGCCTAAATTCAATTTTAGCATTTTTTTTAGAATTGCATTTTTAATTTATTTAGACAAAATAATATTGAATTTTATTATCTGCTATTTATTGTCCAGAGCCCAGAACGTAAAAAAGTTATCTGTTTATTGGGTTTGAAATATTCAGTTTTCACAATTGGTTGATTTTAGCTCCTGATAAACACTTCATAAAAACAAACGCACAGACTAACACTTTTCTCATTACAGTTTGACAGGAAGTTGTCACTGGCTCCAGGATTTGTTGTGCCTTCTAACCTGGATTACCAGGGTTATCATGTGTACATAGATGAGATGCTGCCACACGAAAGCCCAGTGCATTATGGGCTGCATCCAAACGCTGAGATTGAGTTTCTTACAGTGACATCAGACAGCCTCTTCCACACTCTTTTGGAGCTGCAGTCCAGAGACTCCAACATGGGCGAAGGAGCCTCACAGACCACTGAAGAGAAGGTCCGTTTCTGAGCTTTTGAAAGGGTGCAGGTCTGCAGATCATATATTGCCCAAATAAACTGCTTAAGCCACTGCTGTTTCAGGTGAAGACGATCTTGGATGACATCCTGGAAAAACTACCAGAAGAGTACAACATGTCTGACATCACGTCCAAAACAGCTGAACGCTCGCCCTACATTCTGGTGTGTTTCCAGGAGTGTGACCGTATGAACATTCTCCTCAATGAAATAAGACGCTCGCTCAAAGAGCTGGACCTGGGGCTAAAGGTGCGCTGTTATTCCATGCTAGTCTGTTATCAGCTGCAATATGAATCATGCTTGGCCGCTTTTCATATCACAGTGTCCTCTTGTCTAAGACTTTAGGCGGATAGTCAAAAGCCTGGCTTCACAAGTATGTATGTAAACTGGTCTTGTTTTCTCGGGCAGGGAGAGCTGGCTATTTCATCAGAGATGGAGCAGATACAGACAGCTCTGTTTTTTGATAATGTTCCAGATACCTGGGCCAGACTGGCCTACCCCTCTATATACAGCCTTGGACTGTGGTAAGCAGTGATCGCCGATATACTATTGTAGTTCTTGTAAATGTTTTGAATTATATAGCCAGAGCCCAGAATGTAAAAAAGTTATCTGTTTATTGGGTTTGAAATATTAAGTTTTCACAATTGGTTGATTTTAGCCCCTGATAAACATTTCATAAAAACAAACGCACAGACTAACACTTTTCTCATTACAGTTTGACAGGAAGTTGTCACTGGCTCCAGGATTTGTTGTGCCTTCTAACCTGGATTACCAGGGTTATCATGTGTACATAGATGAGATGCTGCCACACGAAAGCCCAGTGCATTATGGGCTGCATCCAAACGCTGAGATTGAGTTTCTTACAGTGACATCAGACAGCCTCTTCCACACTCTTTTGGAGCTGCAGTCCAGAGACTCCAACATGGGCGAAGGAGCCTCACAGACCACTGAAGAGAAGGTCCGTTTCTGAGCTTTTGAAAGGGTGCAGGTCTGCAGATCATATATTGCCCAAATAAACTGCTTAAGCCACTGCTGTTTCAGGTGAAGACGATCTTGGATGACATCCTGGAAAAACTACCAGAAGAGTACAACATGTCTGACATCACGTCCAAAACAGCTGAACGCTCGCCCTACATTCTGGTGTGTTTCCAGGAGTGTGAGCGTATGAACATTCTCCTCAATGAAATAAGACGCTCGCTCAAAGAGCTGGACCTGGGGCTAAAGGTGCGCTGTTATTCCATGCTAGTCTGTTATCAGCTGCAATATGAATCATGCTTGGCCGCTTTTCATATCACAGTGTCCTCTTGTCTAAGACTTTAGGCGGATAGTCAAAAGCCTGGCTTCACAAGCATGTATGTAAACTGGTCTTGTTTTCTCGGGCAGGGAGAGCTGGCTATTTCATCAGAGATGGAGCAGATACAGACAGCTCTGTTTTTTGATAATGTTCCAGATACCTGGGCCAGACTGGCCTACCCCTCTATATACAGCCTTGGACTGTGGTAAGCAGTGATCGCCGATATACTATTGTAGTTCTTGTAAATGTTTTGAATTATATAAATTTTTTTTATATTTTGTTTTCATTTAAATTTTTCTAATTTTGTTGTGTGTTTTTGTCATTATTTTTTGTCTTCTATTTTTAAGTTTTAGTTTTCAGTTCAATTAGTTTATTTTAGTACTTCAGCTTAATATTTCAGTTAATGTTTTATTTCAAGTGGTGAAAATGGAAGTTTTAGTTTTAGTTAATGATGAGCCTGTTGGTTAGACAAAACCCCATTTAAGTTTGCTCAACTGAATATTAGCTGTAAGGTCAAGCTCTGTTCTGAAACCGAGTGCTGCTCTGTAAGGTGCAAGGTCTGGTGATATTATTAAGATATCTTGTTTAGGTCACATTTTCTGTGGATGAAATGATCCCTGAATGCATTGCAGTGAACTCCATGAAGATGGTATTGTTCATTATCATAGTTTTACTGCCTTCTGCATGTTGTCAACTCACTAAGTTCTGAAACTATATAAAGGCTGTACTGTTTTATGATAACAGTTTGTATATGTAATGTCTGTGTGTATCCAATCAGGTACAATGACGTGTTACTCCGCTGTAGAGAGTTAGATAGCTGGACTCACGATCTCTCTCTGCCTAGTGTGGTCTGGATCTCTGGTTTATTTAACCCTCAGTCTTTTCTAACAGGTACAGTAACACATACAAGCTTGTATATAAACAATACAAACATTTATATATGTATACTACCATTCAAACGTTTGGAAAGATTTTATATTGTTTTTGTTATTTTTGTGGAAATCATGATTTTTTTCAGGATTTGTTGATTAATAGAATGTTAAAAATAACATTTATTTGATATATATATATATATATATATATATATATATATATA